TGGTGAGCGGCATGCAGATGCGGTACTCCTTGACCAGCATGGTGACACCTCGGGCGGGGTGACACGGGCACGGCGGGCAGCACGGGGGTCAGGCGGAGGCGCTGCCGGGGACAGGGCTCATGCTGGGGCAGGGAGCGGGGGGGACGCGGCGCTGCCTCCCGCGCTGCCGTCCCCGCACCCCCGGCTCGAAGCAGCCGCCCCGCTCGCGGTGACTTCACGAGCCGTTGCCATGGCAGTGGCGTGAGGTCACCCGTGCGAGGAGCAGCCTGGGTGTACCCAGCTGGGGACACCCCGGCACCCCAAAACCCTCCCGGCCTTAACCCCTTCCCTGCCAGGCAGACAAACGCATCCCCTCGGAGCACACGTGTCCCCCCAAAAGAGGGTGCCGTCCCTTCGGGGTGCCACGTCCCCACCCGGCTGTGGTGGCCAGTGCGGCAGGAGGGTTGCAGGGACATGAGGATGGGGTCAGGCTAGCCCGGTACTCCTGAGGACCCAGCTCCGGGCACCCACACTGCCCTGTCCTGAGAGGTGCTCCCCGGGAGCAGAGGATCCTGTCCCTGATGGAGGAGCTGGATCCCCTTCCCCGAGGCTTCCCCCAGCACCTGTTCCAGGCAGCACCACCCTGGGGCTGCCCCCCAGCACCCCCACACCCATGGCACTGCCAGGCTGTCACACTGCCAGGGCTGGGGATGCTCAGAGTGAGCATCAGGACAGCTCGGGGGGCTCCTGGATGTGCCCCCCAGCCCCACAGAGAAGGGAGGGGATGTGGGCCTTCCTCAAAGTCACCTCGGATAGGGGGTCAAGCCTTGGAAGGGCAGATGGGGGCTCACATGGGATTTTGTCTGGAGGCGACTTGTCCAGCTGGGGACACAGGTTCATCCTTGGGGGTACAGGGTCATAGCGGGACACGAGGGCAGCTTTGGGGCACCGGGGGACGCAGGAATGTCCCTGGGGCCACAAAGCCGTTTGAGGCTAGAGGGGCATCCCTGGGGGACACAGGAACTCGCTGCCGACGGGGCAGAGGGCTGGGTGCTGGTGCCAGGTGCAGGAACCCCAAAGCCGCGGGCAGAGGCAGCCCCGGCAAACGGGAGGGGACACCCCGGGGACTCACCGGAACGCTGCAGGGCTCGGCATTCCCCTCCCCATCCCGGCAGCTCCGACCGGCCCCCGCCGGCTGGAAAAGGAGGAGCCCCCCGGCCGGGCTCAGCCGCCCCTTCCCCAGCGCTGTCCGCGGCCGCATCCCCCCCGGCCGCCCCCGCTGCCCGCACTCACCGGCCCGCGGCGGTGCCCGCTCCCACCGCCGCCGCCGCTGCCGCCGCCGTGCCCCGGCCGTCCCGGGCCGTGCGCAGGAGCGAGCCGCCCCCCGCACCGCCTCCCGCGCCGCGGCACACCGACCCCTAGGGGGAGGAATGCACCGGCACCGCACCGGCACCGGCACCGGCACCGCACCGGCACCGCACCTGGACTGGCACCGCACCGGCACCGGCACCGGCACCGGCACCGCAACGGCACCGCACCGCAGTGACAGCGACACCGGCACCACGGAACCGAGACACCCTCCAACACCAGGGCTCCTCTGGCACGGCACAGACCGGCCCCGGGGCACCTCTGGCACGGCAGAGACCGGCCCCGGGGCACCCAGCACAGCACAGACCGGCCCTGGGGCACCCAGCACAGCACAGACCGGCATCGGGGCACCTCTGGCACGGCACAGACCGGCCCCGAGGCACCTCTGGCATGGCACAGACCGGCCCCGGGGCACCCAGCATGGCACAGACCGGCCCCGGGGCTTCCCGCACCCACCAGGTCTCCGGTCCCCCCAGGGGCCCCCAGCACCGCCGTGAGTCCCAGCTGGGAGATGCCCCCGTGGGGCTCCTGGGCTGGCCCCCCCCGGGAACCCCCAAAGCCCCTCCAGCCACTCACCCGCACCCCGCTGCCAGGCTGGCCCGTGTCCCCCCAGCCTCTGCACTCCCCACGTGCTGGCACTGCCCACGTGCCACCCACAGCCACCAGCACAGCTCATCAGCAGCGACACTGCTGTCACTCCCTGCGCCTCCCGTCCTCCTTCCTCTGCCAATCTCCATCATCCTGGGCATTGCTGTACCCGGCTGTGCCTCACCACTGTCCCTTTCCTGTTGTTTCCTCCCAAAACTCTGCCATGGTCTCCAGCCCAGCTGCCTGGGGTGCAGGGGGGTGGCCCAACAGTGCCAGCGTGATGGCCACTGTGGAGACAGGGATCAGGCAAAGGGGACACCCCCCAGGCCACCCTGTGGTGCTGCCATCACCGGCACTGCTGGGACCCAGCACTGCAGTGGCCATGGGAGTCCCACCTGCCCAGCACCTGTGGGCTCTTCTGTGACTGCCAATCTGTGCCACCTCCTGGTGGTGGGGACCCCAGTTTGTGTCACCCTGTGAACCCCAGGGCAGTGATGATGGGCCCTGACACGGCCCCAAGGCAGCAGGGATGGCCCCAGGCTGTGGCCAGGACAAGCAGTGGCAGAAGGAACAGCATGGGGACAGTGGCCCCAAAACCTGCCAGAGTGCCCTACGGGCACCCATCCCACATCCGGGAGAGCAGTGCCAGGAGCTCTGCCCTGGCACACCTTCCCTGCCTGCCTGCACCTCTGCCTCCTTCCCACACACCAGCCTGTGGTGTCACTGTCCCCTGTGGTGTGTGACAGCACCCCCAGCTCTGGTGGCAATGGTGGCAGCCACCCCCTCCCCATTTTCCCCCAGGGAGGGCACACCACAGCGTTCCCCAAAGGGGGACTCAGCCTACGTGGCTGGGACCAAACCCAGCAGGGCTCCCACTGGGGTGACTGTGGTGGTGACAAGGACCTGGCCATGCTGGTGACAAGTACCTGGAGGGCTCTCAGCCCCCTCAACAGCTGCATTCCTCCTGAACCTGTTTGGCAGGGCCCTGTGCAGGTGCCAAGAAAAAGGCATCTGGGCCAGGCTTTTCCTGGTCATGCCCTGCTTCACTCCAGTGCCGAGTCAACAAGGAGTAGGAAGGGTTTTCTGGGGCCTGGTGCCCCCACGGTGCTGCTGGTGCCCCCCAGAGTCACCCGCGGCTCCCAGTGCTGATGGTGCCCCCCAGTTTCTCACCCCCCAGCAGTGATCCTGCAGAAGGTTGGGAAGGGGAAGAAAGAGGAGGCAGAAACAAGTGAAAAATGACCCAATTTAATCCCAAAGCCCCCTCAAGCTCCGTGGTTTCGGGAGCCCCTTGTCGCCCCTCCTGCCCCCCTGTCTGTGCAGCCCCTGGGGCCCCGGGCTGAGCGCACCCCTGGGTCACCCCCTGGCTCTCTGCCCCAGCGCGGGCACAAGGAGCTCTCCGAGGCACCCGGCCTCTTCCTCAGCTCCGCCAGCACCAGCTGCGTCCCACTGTCCCCAGCCCCGCCCCGAGCCCTTATGGAGGTGCCCTGAAAAAAACCATCCTGGTGGAGTAGATCAGGTCCACCAAGTAGGCGATGAGGTTGAAGATGGTGAGGAAGGTGACCCCCAGGTTCTTGTTCCAAGGGCAGTTCTTGTCGCAGGAATTGGGGCGGCTCTGGCCCCGGAAGCAGTAGAGGGGCCACAGGACCACGGCAGTGAAGTACATCAGCAGGGCCAGCACGTTGTAGCCCACCAAGACCTTCTCCAGCGAGCAGGGGATGTAGGTGAGGCAGCGACCAATGGTGAAGATGATGATGAGAAGGGTGAAGATGAAGCAGATGGAGTAGACAGCCACGCACCACATCAGGCCAGATTCCTTTGTGTATTCACGCGTATCCAGCAGGGAGAAGATCAGGCAAGCCACGTAGGCTTCAAAAACCTTGAGGAGCCCGGGCACGGTGGAGAGGAAGCTGCTGATGTCCCCGGGCTTGGCGCGGGTCAGCGACACCTCGAGGGCGTAGGCGAGGAAGCAGAGGCAGGAGGTGGTGGTGGCCACGGCCTGCCGGGCACACTGGCTGCCGCTGCAGGAGCCGCTGATGAACGTGGCAGGGAACACCACCGAGGAGGTGAAGACCATCAGAGCGGCCAGCATGGAGAAAGCCGAGGTGAAGTCATCCCAGGAGAGCGGCAGCAGGGGGTAGAGCTCCAGCAGCTCCAGCAGCAGCACCAGCAGCGTCACGGCGAAGCAGAAGCACCAGGTGAACATGCACCACGTCCCGTAGGGAGCCTCGAATTGCCCGGTGGAGGCCACCAAGCTGAAGGAGAGGCAGGACAGCAGGACGGCCAGGAGGCGGGCGATGCCCACCCAGGAGGTCAGGGCGCGCAGGTTCAGCGTGGCCATGGTGCTGCCGCTCTGCCCGCTGGGCACTGCCCGCAGCCGCTCTTATCCCGCTGCTGGGGCGCAGGGCAGGGAGCCGCCAGCCTCCCCGAGCCGCCCGTGCCAAGGACCCCCGGCTCTGCTGCCGCTGCCACCACACCGGTGGCTGCTGGGGCTGGTGGATCATTAACGCGGGGCTGGGCAAAGGGCGGGGACGGCGGGGCCGGGGCGGGCAGGAAGCCACCGTGTGCCACCGTGTGCCTCCGCCCTGGCAGCGAGCCCCAGCCCTGCCCGCGGCAGGAGGTACAAAAGGGCCTTTCATGCACCCCTAGAGTACCCGGGGGGCACCCTGACACCTTGACAGGTACCAGGGCTTGGCAGCCAGTGGGGCAGCACCCACTGGGTGCCCCTGAGGGGTTTAGGGGCTGCACCCATGCGGTGCCCCTGGCAGGGGGGTGCCACAGCTGGGTGTAGCCCCTTCACACCCTTGCAGGCGACATCTCCACACCCCTCCGGCACCTCCGCTCCCCTCCCAGCACCTCCAGCACCTGATAAGGGGCTCAAAGTCCAGCTGTGCCAGCTGCCTCGCTGGGCAGGGCGGGTGAGGTGGCCATGGGGAGGGGCATCTGCACCCCACAGGCAGCACCTCCACTTCCCCAGCGGGCCTGGGGGCCACAGCAGCCAGAGCAGCACAGGAGGGCGGTGGCACATCAAAACTTGGGAGTCCAGCAGGAGGGTGAAGGCTGAAGGCTCTGGATTAACCTTTAATGTCACACAGGGTCTGGGGGTCTGTGCCCATGGCAGAGCTTGGGGATGAGGGACCCATGTCAGGGCAGCTGGGCACTCCTGGGGGGGCTCTTCACCCCAGGCAGGTTCCTGGCACAGCCATGGTGGGCAGGGGTGGGCGCTGCCATGGGGTCCAGTGGTGCTCTGGGGGCACAGGGTGGCTCAGAGGTGGCTGCTGGCCTCGCCCTTGGCGGGCAGCCCATTGAGGGGGCTCAGCCCCGGCCGGTTGCTCTCATTCAGCCGCCGCACGCGGTAACTCTCGTAGTGGACGTTGTGGGTGATGTCCTTCAGATCCTGCAGGTGTGACCTGCCCGGGGTGGCAGGGAGAGGAAGGGCATCATGTCACTGTCCCCCCCACCCTGCTGTCACCCCGGAGGGTTCCAGCACTGCCTACCCTGTCCCTGCTCACCGGATCAGCAGGTCCTGCAGGAGGGGGAACTCGCAGTGGGCCGGGTTCTCCACTGCAAGGCAAGGCAGAGGGGCAGGGTCGGCAGGAGGGCTTGGTGGTGCTGGGATGCCCGGGCAGTGCATCCTGGCATGCTCTGGGTACCACCAGAGCCCAGCACAGCTCCGTGACACCTGCCATGGGCTGGCACCCACCCAGGCAAGGACACACCGTGGGTGCTGCTCCCTGCACCTGCAGGGCCTGGGTGTGAGGGGCTCTGCTCACCTTCAATGATGCCCCACTTGGTCTTGCGGCCCAGCACCCGCTTGCCGTTCACCTGGTGCTCCTGGTCCGCCCCCACCACGGCGAAGGGAATCTTCTCCTGCCAGCAGAGGCTGTGCTCGCCCCGGGTGCTGTCCCTCGGGGTCCCCAGGGTCCCTGTCCCCCACCCTGCCCCCAGGCCTGGCCCCTCTGTCCCAGCACCCCGGCACTCACACGAATCCTGTTGTTCAGTGCCCTGTCTTCAGGGTCCTGGTCGAAGTCCTCCTGCGGGTACACGCTGATGGCGTGGGTCTTCAGGTCCTCCTGGATCTGAGGGACACAGGGCTTGAGCTGGGGCTGGGGGGGACATGGGGCAGCCCCAGAGCCCCCTGGGGACCTGTCCTCACCCTCTGCTTGAATTCTGCCCGTTCCTCCAGGGTGAGCGTGTCAGCTTTGGCGATCACCGGCACCACGTTGACGATCTTGCTGAGCCGCCGCATGAACTCCAGGTCCAGCGGGCGCAGCCTGACAAGGACCAGTGTCACTCTGAGGTGACCCCAGCACTATCAGCCTGAGGGACCTTCCCCACTACCATCCCAGGTTGATACCCTATCTCTGTCACCCTGGGGTGACCCTGCCATCATCATCCCAGGGTGACACAACCACCCCACAGTGACCACCCCACCACTGTCACCGTGAGGTGACCACACCACTACCAGTCCAGAATCACCCTGAGGTGCCTCCACCACCATCACCTCAGGGTGGGGTTATCACCCCAGACTCCACCACCATTACCTCAGGGTGACCCCACCACCGTCATCCCAGGGTGGCAAACCACCCCATGGTGACCCCATCACCTGTGGGGGCTGTGAGTGGGGGTCACTCACCAGTGACCTGTGGGGGGCACAAAGTAGACACATCCATGGACACGGGTGTCCGGGATCTTCCTCTTGCGGGTGATGAGGATCTCCTCCCGCAGGTACCTCTCGTACTGCTCGTTGATGTATTTGATGATGGGGTCCCAGCTGAGGATGAAGAGTTGAGGGACAGCACCTGAGCTCAACCCCTACCCCAAACTGCCACCCACGGAGCTGGGCTCCTGCTCCCCATTGTGTCCTACCAGTTGTCATTGTTGATCTGGTCCCCAAAGCCTGGTGTGTCGGTCACCGTCAGCTTCATCTTCACCCCCTTCTCCTGGATGACTGTGGGGCAGAGGTGGGTCAGGGGGGAGGAAACATTGGGGAAAAGCAGGGTACCAGGCATGGGGGATGGTTTGAGGCTGTGAACACAGCCTCAGACCCCAGCCCAATCTCCTGCTTCTCTCAAGGGCTGGTGGGACACGACCCCGTGGGGGTGACCTTACTGTGGGTGATGGACTGGAGCTGCACTGTTTTGGGAATACGTTCCTCCTGGCCGGGCTGCGAGGATTTGCGGCTCACCTTGGACTTGAAGAGGGTGTTCACCATCGTGGACTTCCCCAGCCCGCTCTGCCCTGAGGGGACACCAGCAGCTCTGGTTTGTCCCCCAGGGCAGTTACATCTTGATATCCACTTGGGAGCAACCCAGAGTTTGGGATAACTCTGCTTTATCCCCAAATAAATTTCTTCCCCAAGGCAATAACCCCTTGGTATCCACTGGGGACCATCCCAGAGGTTGGGACAGTCCATTTTATCCCAAGAACAAATTTGAAGGTAATAACCCCTGGTACACATCTGGGAGCATCCCAGATTGGGCTAGTCTGGTTTATCTTCCAAACAAATTTATTCCCCAAGGTGACAGCCCCTCAACATCGATTTGGGAGCATCTCAGAGGTTGGGATGAGCTCACCTACCAGCATTACTATGCTATGCAGTATGGGATATTACTCATTTTCAATTGCTTGCTACTTAAATCAGTTAAAATCACTTAAATTTCCTTAAAATCCCTTAAAAGCATGATTTCCCCTGGCACGGTGGAATCGGAGCCAGTATTCCCAGCCCACCCAGAAGCAAACCCCACGGCCAGCGCTCACCCACAACCATGATGTTGAACTCAAACCCTGTCTTCATGGTTTTGATTTTCATCTGGTCGAGCACAGCTTCGATTCCCACGTATCCAAAGAGCTGGCAGCCCACGGGGCCGGGCGCCATGGAGAGGGGCACCGCCCCCTCCTCCTCGTCCTCCTCCTCCTCCTCCGGCACGGCCGGCGGCTCCATGCTGCGCTCCTCGGGCTCCAGGCTGCTCCCTGCACCGCGGGGTGGGCAAAGGCGGTGAGCCTGGACCCCCGGCTGCCCACCCCTCGATGCCCACCCCTGGGTGCCCACCCCTCGGTGCCCAGCCCTGCGCCGGCAGCGTTGCCCCGGCAGCGGCGGTGGCGGCGGGCACGCAGCCCCGGCACATTCCCGGGAGCCGGTGAGGCTGGGCATGGCAACGGGGGCACGGCCGGCCCCGCGCCAGGGCCCGAGCAGGTGCCAGGGGCATCTTTGGGGTGCTCGTGCCACCGGACCCCACGGTGCCACCGGTGCCCTGCGATCATGCGGCCATGCCCAGCACCTTTTGCCCCGCACCTTTGCCCAGCCCACGCGGTCACCGGGCACCGCTCCGGCCCCAGGGCAGGCCGTGCCATCCCACAGCGCACCCACACCGTACCCGGGCATTGGGCACTGCTGGGCGGGGGCACCGCGGGCGCAGCGCAATCCCCGGCATAGCCCCGAGCCCCCAGGGACACGCGGGGTTTGCCTGGGGACGGTGCCCCGAGCGTGCCCCACACCGGGAGCCACCGGAGCCCCGAGCCCGCCCCAGCTCTTTGTGCGGCAGCCCCGAATCCCTTTCTTCCTCCTCCTCCTCCTCCTCCTCCTCCTCCTCCTGCTGCCTCCCAGCCCGGCCATTGTTCGGGTCCTACCTCGGCGCCGCGGTGCCCTCGCTCAGCGCCCCGCTACGGCCGGGGGGGTGCCCGGGGCGCCACTCGCATCCCCATCGCCGCCGCAGCCCGGCCCCTTCCCTTCCCTTCCCTCCGGAGCTCCCGGCTGGCACCAGCCCGGCTCCGCCGAGGCTGCGGCTCCCACGCATGACCAGCATGGCAATGCCCGCCCCCCGCAGCCCCCTCTCCAGCACAGCCGAGCCCCTGCGCCCAGTGGGGCTGCCGATCGGCTGGGGGTGGGGAGGCTGTGCCAACCCGGCTGTGCCAACCCGGCTGTGCCCACCCAGGGCACGGCACTGCTCGGCCTCCCAACCGGGCCAGCACGGATGGGGACCCCTCCCATGGCACAGGACACCCCCAGTCCTCGCTTTGTCCCCGTCACCCCGTGAGCGGCCGCGGTGGCACTGACTGGGAGCGGGAGTGCTTGGCCGTGGGCACGATCCCCACGGGCACCCGCGGGCACCAGGACCACCCCGCACTGTCTGTGCCCCCCGCCCTCCCCAGCAGCACCTGTGCCCGGCCCGGCACGGCGGGATGGGACAAGGGGTGGCGGCCCTGCCACCCGCCCCACTGCCGCAGTGCCCCACGGCGCTTGCGTCCCCCCACGCCGCAGCCTCCCCCGCATGTGCCAGCCGGCGCTTGGCACCGGCGGGGCTGGAGCGGCAGCTTGCGATGGCCCAGGCTGTGAGGGACCTGCTGAGACCGTGTCCGTGTGCCACGCAGCCAGGGGACAAGGGACATGTGGGCAGGGGCCGGCCTGAGCCAGCCCCGGTGCCAGGAGATGATGGAGCTGAACACCCCCATTGCCATGGCAACGGCATCCCGGCGTGGGAGCCACCCAGCACCCTGTGCCCGCTGGGTGCCAGAGGGAAGGCAGGCTTGGGGACAGCACTGTCGCATGTCCCAGCTGCCCCTGTGCCCCCTGGGTCGGGGTTCCTCGGAAGTGGTGAAACAGCCGCGGATTTCCTGGTGACAGCGGTGACACCCGGCTGGGGGTCTGGGGGAGGGCAGGATGCCCATTCCAGCGGGGATCCACCCACCCAGCACCGTCCGTGCCAACCGGGACTTCCACAGACTGGCAGCGACGGGGGGTGGGAAGTGCCCATCAGGGACAGGACCCCAACAATTACTGCATCACCCCCCGTGCCCCCAGCCTGGCACCCCTTCCCAGGCCCTGCCAGCCTTGGCAGTTGCCAGAACAGATCCAGAGCCAAATGGTGCAGCCTCTGGGGCCACCCAGGCTACTGGGCACTGCAGGAAGGAGCACTGGGATATCCCGGGTGCTGGGCACTGCAGGAGGGAGCACGGGGATATCCTGGGTGCTGGGCACTGCAGGAGGGAGCACTGGGATGGGATATCCCGGGTGCTGGGCACTGCAGGAAGGAGCACTGGGATATCCTGGGTTCTGGGCACTGCAGGAAGGAGCACTGGGATATCCCGGGTACCGGGCACTGCAGGAGGGAGCACTGGGATATCCTGGGTTCTGGGCACTGCAGGAAGGAGCACTGGGATATCCTGGGTTCTGGGCACTGCAGGAAGGAGCACTGGGATATCCTGGGTGCTGGGCACTGCAGGAGGGAGCACTGGGATATCCTGGGTGCTGGGCACTGCAGGAGGGAGCACTGGGATATCCCAGATGCTGGGCACTGCAGGAAGGAGCACTGGGATATCCTGGGTGCTGGGCACTGCAGGAGGGAGCACTGGGATATCCCGGGTACCGGGCACTGCAGGAGGGAGCACTGGGATATCCTGGGTTCTGGGCACTGCAGGAAGGAGCAGGTGGGATTTGGTGCTTGTCCCCCCCCAGCTCTCCGGGGCGGTCCCTGGGGTGCAGCCCCCACAGAGGGGCTCAGGCACTGCCCTGTGCCCTGCCAGGAGACAGCCACAGCCAGAGGGCACGTCCGGGGTGGCGCTGGGAGCTGCAGCCCCCGCTGCCTCCGCCACGGGTCCGGAGCCCCCCCGGCCCTGCCCCCAGTGCCAAAGAGCCCCGCTGGGAATGGCCAGCAGCCGGGTGGCCACGTGGGAGCTCTTTGCATCCCCACGGAGCCCCGGGGCAAATGGCTCCTGCAGCCAGACCTGTTCCAGGACTCATCACGGATGCTCTTATTTTCCAGACAGGGACAAGTAATCCCGGGTCCGTGGTCTCCTCCATGGATTTTAATTACCGATGCAGGGTTAATTGGCCAGTTCCCCGGGAAGCCTGTAATAAAGCTTCTAGGGTGGAGGGTGCTGGGAGAGGATGAGCTGGGACAGGAGCTCCCTGTCCGGCTGCTCACCACTGCTCCAAACAGATCCCGGGCACGGGATGGGGAGAGCCTGGCCTGGGGTCCAGCACCAGGGAGCTGAGCCCTCTGGCACAGGGATGGAGGCTTTGGGCATGCACCCACGGCCCCAGCCACAGCACAGCTCTGCCTGCCCAGCTGATCTGACCCAGAAACACCAGTGCCAAACACGACCTCAGGGGACAGAGGTGACAGTCCCCATCTGCAGCCAGACTCGGAGCCAGCCCGTCCGTCTGGCCGTGGGAGCCACGGGACGGGGCTGGTGTGGCTGGGGGAGCTCGGGGAGCAGAAGCAGAAGTGAACCATCGAGCGAAACCCTGCGCCTGCAGCGCTGCTGGGGACAGGGACAAGTCACCCAGCCCCGGTGGCAGCACCCTCTGCCCGCACACCCCCTGCCCGCTGCCACCACGCCATCCCTACCTGGGCGAGCCGGCCGGAGCCGGGGCTGCTGCCGCCGAGAGCTGGTCACCGGGGCCAAATGGCTCCTGGGGTGCGAGGCAGAGGGCGGCTGCTGCCCACGGCTCCTCCTCCGCTCCTCCTCCTCCTCGCCCCGGGGCCTGCGTGGGCGACCCGGCGTGGAAGTGAAATGCGGCGGCCGGCGCTCGGCGCTCGCTGGGAGCTTCCTCCTGCGGGGTGTGGGACCCACCGCGCCACGGTGCCCCGGGGCCACCACGGGTGTCAGCGGCTGGGGGCCGGCCCGGCCTCCCGGGAGAGGAAGCAGCACGATCCCACCTCTTCCTGGCAGAGAATCCGCCGTGCCCAGCAGTGCCTGCCAGCCCCCTGCCAGTCCCGGGCCATCTGCAGGGCAGCCGGTGCCACCCGCTGCCCGCTGGCTCGTGTGTCCCCCCAGCCTGGGCACGCCGTGCTCGGCTGTCGGCCACCAACACGGCTCTGGCCTGAGCATGTCCCCCCATCACCCCGGCTCCAGCCCGAGCTCCGTGTCCCCATTTCCCTGTCACCCCAGCTTGCTCTTGAGCACTGTGTCCCTGTCACAGCCCTGAGCACTGTCCCTTGTCTCCCTGTGACCCTGGCTCGGCCTCAAGCACCGTGTGCGCATGACCCCAGCTCAGCCCTGAGCACGACTGCATCACCACAGCTTGGTCCTGAGCACCGTGTCCCTGTCACCTCCTCTTAGCCCTGAGCCTTTGTGCCCCCATCACCCCAGCTTGGCCCCAAGTACTGTGTCCCCATGTCCCTGTCACCTTGGCACCGCCCCAACTGCCGTCCCTTTGTGTTCCCATCACTCCTGACTCAGCCTGACCACCACATCCTTGTCCCCATCACCTGTCCCAGCCCTGAGCATTGTCCCTCAGTGTCCCCATCACCTGTCTCAGCCCTGAGCATTGTCCCTCAGTGTCCCCATCACTCGGCTCAGCCTCGAGCTCCGTTCCCCTGTGTCCCCATGACCCGGGCTGTCCCCAGTCCCATCCCTGGCCTGGGGAGCCGTGGGCAGCCGGGCTGGCTGGGCAGCAGGGCCACGGGCATTGCTGGGGGATGATTCAGCAGGGCCCGGAGCAGATGTATGGATGCCTTCGCCGCGTCAGTACTTAGGGCCCGGCCACGGCGGCTCCGCGACAGCGCAGCAAAGAGACGGGCAAAGAGCCTCGAGCAGCCAGGCAGGGAGCAGCGGCGGGGGCGGCCGCGTCCCGGCCACCCCTCCTGGAGCAGCCGCTGGGAACGGGGACACTCGGCTACCCCCTCCCCAGGCCTGGGGACGGGCAGCGCCCACCGTGGCACGGCGGGAGCCGAGGGCACAGGAGCCGTGCCAGGAGCCGGGCACCGCTGCCCGCGGCACCGGGCGCACGCCGAGCACGCCCCGCTCCGCTTGGCCCCCCGCCACCGCCCGAGCCCCGCGGGGAGGGAGGAACAGGATCCAGCCCCGTGCCAAGCCGGGAGGGATGAGAGGGGAAGAAAGCGCTGGACGCGGGACAAGATCGCGGCGATAGGCGGCACGCGCGGGGCCGGCGCGATGGGGCTCAGGAGTCCCGAGCTGCTCCCAGCGCCGGGCGGGGCGGGCGGCTCGCCAGGCACCGCGGGGACGGGCGGGCCGGGAGCGCCGCCAGCTCCGCCCGGCTCCTCCGGCCCCCCCAGAGCCTGCGCGGGGAGCAGCGAGCCGCCCGTCCCCAAAGCCGCTGTCACTGCTCGCTCCTCCCGGCATCGGCTCCTGCGGGGCTTTGGCAGCGCTGCGCCCGCCGAGGGGGCCCCGACGGAGAGGGACGGGGACAGGAACGAGGACAGGAACGAGTCCTACCGTGCTCCGGCGTCACCGCTGCCCCGCTGCCGTCCGCAGGCTCGCCGGGAGCCGCTGCCATCACGCAGGGTCCCCGCGGTGCCACCTGCCCGGTGCTGGGGAGGGGGCCCAGGGCTGGCAGCAGCACCAGCCCCCCCAGGAAGGCGGGCTGGGAGCTCACTTGCACCGTCTGCGGCTGCGACACCAGCCTGAAGGTGGCGGCCTGGGGGGCTGGCAGTGGTGGCAGCCCCCCTGCCCTCCCCTCAGCCGGAGCTGCCTCCCCCGGTGCCCAGGGCTGAGCAGGGGCCCGGCTGGCGCTCAGGGTGACCCTCGGCTGGGGCCGGGACACTGCACGGGGAGCCGCGTCCCACCCGGGCAGCCCCGGGGCTGTCTCTGTGCCATCGTACGGGGGCAGGGCGGAGGAGGAGGAGGATGAGGAGGAAGGCTGCTGGGTGCGAGGCTGGGCTGCAGAGCTCTGGCTGCCCCAGGGCTGGGTCCCCAGGCCCGGCTCCTCGGCGATGTGCAGGTCCAGCGCCGGCAGGGAGCCGTGGCTGGCGGCGGCCCCGCGGAGGGGATGATCCAGCTCCACCGGGAAGACGCTGCCGTGGGACGGGACCTTCTTCAAGCCGGGGCTGTTGGCCGGGGGGCTGCCCGGGGGCTGGGGGGGCCCGGTGGGCGCGGGGCTCTCCAGGCTGGAGGAGGAGCTGCGCTGGCTCTCTCCGTCACTGCCCGGCCCCGTGGCCGAGGCCTGGCGGCTCTGGAAGGAGGCGGCGCGGGCGATGCCGGGGCCGCCGGTGCCGTTGGCTCGGCCGGTGGCCAGGCCGGTGCCGAGCCGGGTCCGCAGCACGGGGCTGGGCACGGGGCTGGGGCTGGGGCCGCTGCCCAGGCGGGGCGGGTGGCCGGGCTGCAGTGGCTGGTGGCTCTCGCCTGAGGACAGCAAGGAGCCGGGAGCCTCGTCCCCATCTTCTGCCTCAAACGACTTCTTGAGCGCTGGGGACACAGAGAGAGAGAGAGATGGTGGCACCACAGTGGTCCCCGATGGCACCCGTCCCCTGGCCAGCCCCATGTGTGTCCCCCCATCACCCAGAGGTGCCCCTGATTGTGAGCCCATCCCACAGAGGATCCCAGCCCGGCGCCAGCTCCTCCCCAGCCCCGCTGTCCCCGAGGGTTTGATCATTGTTCCCCGGGTGATCTGGCCGGTGCTGCCGGCTCCCCTCGCAGCACACTGCCCGCTTTATTCCCCCTGAAAGGGATCCGGCCGAGTAACCGGATCCCCGCCCGACCCTCTCCCCTCTCCCCCTGCATCCATCGCGGCAGCCGGGGTGGATTCCTGCCCTTTCCCGGGCCTTAACCCTGGAGCCCGCTGATGGCAGCGCCATCGCCACGCTCGGGGACTGTCACAGCCCGCTCTGGTGGCCGCTGCCGCGCCTCCCACGCGGCTTCACAGCGGCCACGAGCCCAGGGCACGGCCCCGGTGCCAACACACGGGCCCCGGGTACCGCAGCGCTGGGCCCGCTGCAAAGCTCCTGTAGGGCCCCTCCGGGTGGCACAGGACCCCATGGGAAGCCCCCGCGGTGCAGCCGCCCCCTCCTTCCCCCGGCCCCGCTGGAGGCTCCCCAGGAGCCGCTGCCCGCGGGGCTCCGCACGGTGCCGGCAGCCGGGCAGAGCGCGGGGGGCCCAGGCTCCCCCCGGAGCCTCCCTCGCCCTCGCTGCCAAGCGCCGAGCGGCTGCTTCCCCCCGGGGGGCTCCGTGGGGGCGGCCCACGCTGCTCCCCTGCATCCTGTCCGCGTGTGCCAGCCTGTCCCGGCACCCACGGGCTGGCACCGGCCCGCCCTCGCCCTCCTCTTCCTCGGCCGCGGTGCCGGGGGCAGCGGGGGCTCAGCGTCCGTCCCTGTCCCCTCCCCTGTGCCCTGTGCCCGGGGCAGGGCAGGGTCAGGGGCCGGGGCGTGGGCGCTGCCGATCACCGCTGTCCCCAGGGCAGGGAATGCCGCGGCCGGCCCGGCCCTGCCCCACCGGGGGCCACGGGGTCACGGGGCTGGCGACCCCCTCCCCACATCCCTGTCTGTGCTTTGTTACCGCCCCAAATGCCTCCTTTTACCCCAAACCTGCCTCTGGCTCCTGACCCGGCCTCATCCAGGTGTGATGGGCAGGGGGGGCAACGAGGGGATGCAGGGCAAGGTGGGGGTGGCAGGCGCTTGGAGGGGGACAGAGGGGGGTGGCAGGAGGTTTGGGACGGATGGGGGCTCGGGGGAATGGCAGGGGGTGAAAGTGGGGTGTCAGAAGGCGGAGATGTTGAGATGGGGTGGCAGGAGGTTTAGAGGGGCGGCAGGGTGCTCAGGGGGTGGTGGGAGTGAAGGAGGGGTGGCAGGAGGTTCAGGGGGGCTTGGGGGGATGTGGGGGTTTGGCGGGGGCTCAGGGGTGCCGCCGGCAGCGGCGGGGTTAAGGTGCCCGGGGTAGGTGCACACATTCCTCCCCGGCGAGGGCAGCAGCAGCCCCCGGGTCGGGTTTCGCCTCCCGCCCCCGGCCCGGCCCCGGCCCCCCCCGCAGCCCCCGGCCCGCGGGCAGAGCGCGCACACGCGGGGAGCGCGCACGGCGACACCGCGGGCTTGGGGGGTCCCGCACCTTCCCCGCTCCCCGCAGCCTCGGCCGCCCCCCTTGCCCACCCCAGAGCCGCCCCCAGAGCAGCCCCGCACCCCCCGGGCCGGGGGCAGAGCAGCCCCCGCCATGCCCAGGCCTGGGGTCACCCGTGTCCCCACCATGTGCAGCCCCCGGGGGCGCCACCCCCCGCCCCCAGTGCCCACCCCCGGAGCGGAGCGCAGCCCCTACGGCGCCGAGAGCTCGGGGAGCCCCAGGCCCCCCAAGATGTCCGGCTCAGCATCCCCCCAGTCCAGCCCCCTGTGGGGAGCGCAGCCCCCACCGGGTTCAGCCCAGCCCAGGATCCCCAGCCCAGCAGCAGCCGAACCCCGGGACCGATCCCCAGCGCCCGCTGCTCCCCCCGGGGGACACCCAGCCCCCCCAAAAGCCCGGCCAGCAGCATCGCCCCCAGAATCAGCCTCCGGGCGGGGGGAGTGCAGCCCCTACCGTGCTCAGCCCCTGGGGGCACCCCCGCCCCCCGAGACCCCCGGGCAGCAGAGCCCCCCCCCCATCCCGGGGACACCCCCGTTCCTCGCACGGCACCCAGCCCCGAGGGGGTCCCGCGGGGGGGCCGCACCTTCGAAGTCGGAGAGGATCCCGTCCAGGTGCTCCTTGACCGAGAGCCGGGCCATGGCGGGCCGGGGGGGGCCGGGGCTGCCGCCCACCCGCGACCCCCGCATGCGGAGGGGGCAGCGCGGCCGAGCCCACCGAGCCCCGGGACGGGACGGGCCGGCGCCGGCTGCCCTCGGCGGGAGGGGAAGGAGGAGGGGACCGGCCGGGGGAGGGGAGGGGAAAGGGAGGGGAGGGGGAGGTCCCGCCTGCGCCCCCGCCCCGGCCCGGGACCCCCCCCCCGCCTCCCCCGGGCCGGCCCCGCAGCTCCGCCGCGCCCGCCCCGTCCCGGGGATGGGGATGCTGCAGCCCCCGAATGGGGATCCCGGGCAGCCTGGGGGGCCCAGGAGAGCCGGGGGGAGCTCCTGGCCAGGCCGGAGGGCTCCCGGAAAGGCTGGGGGGCCCCGGCGGGCTGGAGGTGCCGGAGAAGCGGGGAGGGAGCCTGGCCAGGCTGGGGGTCCCGGGCAGGCTGGGGCGCCCTGCCAGGCTCCAGGGTCAGGGGGCTTCTAGCACCTTGTCCTCCCCAGTTCTGCATCACCAGGAGTTGCCAGCTCCGAGCAAGAGGAGGAAAACGCTCTGAACAGGCAGGGCTGCTGTCGCTGTGTCCCGGCTGGGTGTGGGGTCTTTGCTGTAGTGTCACCACCCTCCGCTGTGTCCCTGCCCGGGGCTGTGTCCCCTGCTGGAGCGCCTGGAGCATCCCTGGGGGCTGCGCTCCCCGCGGCCATCCCGGGGCTCTCCCCACAGGGTGGCACCGGCAGCCCCCGGGCTCAGGGCTGCGCTGGGGCTGCCCCCCTAACCCAGGGCTGGGGCTCTGCTCACCCCAGCCCGGCTGCCAAGGGTTAACCCCGTCCCAGCCCCGGCCCGGGGCCGGCAGCAGATGGGGAAGGGGAAGGAGCTGGAAATGCCTCCTGCATCCACAGCAATCCCTGCTGCACCCAGAGCAATCCCTGCATCCACAGCAATTCCTGCTGCACCCAGAGCAATCCCAGCACCCAGAGCAATTCCTGCATCCACAGCAATCCCAGCACCCACAGCAAACCCCTCTGCACCCAGAGCAAACCCCTCTGCATCCAGAGCAATCCCTGCTGCACCCAGAGCAATTCCTGCTGCACCCAGAGCAATCCCTGCACCCAGAGCAATCCCAGCACCCACAGCAAACCCCTCTGCACCCAGAGCAAACCCCTCTGCACCCAGAGCAATCCCTGCACCCAGAGCAATCCCTGCTGCACCCAGAGCAATCCCTGCACCCAGAGCAATCCCTGCTGCACCCAGAGCAATCCCTGCACCCAGAGCAATCCCAGCACCCAGAGCAATCCCTTCTCCTCCTGCAGCAGACCCCCCCTGAGGGCTGGAGCTGTTCCTGGGGCACAGGGACACAGCCACAGAGCCCTGCTGGGCCCAGCTCTGCTATGGGGACACAGGACAGGGACCAGGGCATGTGGGACATGAGGGTGGTGGCCTTGGTCATGGCCAGGCTTTGAGGTGCCACTGGCCATGGAACCACAGGATTGTTGTGGCTGGGAAAGTCCTGAGATCATCAAGTCCAAGTGTCCCTCAGCACTGCCAAGGCCACCACTCACCCGTGTCCCCAAGTGCCACATCCACATCTTCAAACCTCTTCAGGGGTGGTGACCCCACCACTGCCCTGGGCAGCTGTGCCAGGGCCTGACCACCCTTTCCATGAAGGAATTTTCCCAATATCCAACCTGAACCTCCCCTGGCACAGCTTGGGGCCATTTCCCCTTGTCCTGTCCCTGTTCCCTGGGAGCAGAGCCCGACCCCTCAGCTGTCCCCTCCTGTCAGGAGCTGTGCAGAGCCACAAGGTCCCCCCTGAGCCTCCTTTTCTCCAGGCTGAGCCCCTTCCCAGCTCCCTCAGCCCCTCCTGGTGCTTCAGACCCTGCCCAGCTCTGTTCCCTTCCCTGGATCCCTTCCAGCCCCTCCAGGTCCTTCTGGCCATGAGTGGCCCAGACCTGTCCCCAGACCTGGAGCTTTGTCACCTGAGCTGGGTGCAAGGGCTGGAGCTGGGCTGGGCTGGGCCCAGCTCTGGAGCTGTTCTGAAGGATGCAGAGACCTTCAGAGCTGTAGGACTTTTCTGGAGCAGTTTTGAAAAGGCTGGAGAGGTTTTAAACTATTCAGGGCCCTTTTCAGAGGAGGTGCAGAAAAGCTGGAGTGCTTTGGAGCAGCTCTGATGATTTTTTATGAGTTTTGGGGTTGTTTTAGGGTTGCCTGTTCCCCTCTGATGTCATTCAGAGAGGGTTTAGGGTAGTTGCAAACTGAGTTTAGAGATATTATTAAAAATTTTAACCCTTTTGAGAGGCCCATGAAGAAGGTCCAGAGGGGTTTCAAGGGCCTTTTGGAGGCTGTTGGGGCACTCGAGGAGTTTCACAGCTGCACAGAGGAGCCTTGGAGAGCTTCAGAGCTGCCAGGAGACCTTTCCCATGATCCGTTTTCAGCTATTTCGAGGAGTTTTAGAAGAGTTTAGAGAGCTTCAAGTGCTACTTCGAGGCAGTTTGGGCATCTTGGTGCCTTGCAGGGCTGCTTGGAGGGGCATGAGAGCTGTTTGAGCAGTTCAAGTGGTTCAGTAATGGCCAGAGTTCCGTCCTTCCAAAGCCTGAGCTGCTCAAAGGAGATTTACAGCTCCTTGAAGCAACCCAGCAGCACAGAAATAACCCCAGAGAGATTCACCTACCCCATTTCTAGAGCAGCTTTGAGATTGAGAGGTTGAGATTTCAGAGGAATTTTTAAAATGAAGTTTCAGAGGTGTTTAGGGAAATCTTTAGCCGTGCACTCTAGAGCTGCTTGGAGGGTGCAGAGCAGTTGGGAATGCTTCAGAGGTGATTTACAGATGCTCAGTGATGCTTTGGACATGCTCAGAGATGTTTTAGGGCAGCTCAGGGATGGTTTAGAGCAGCTCAGGGATGGTTTAGAGCAGCTCAGGGGTGCTTTAGAGCAGCTCCAGGATGTTTCAGAGGTGCTCAGGGATGCTTAGGACAGCTCAGGGATAGTTTAGGGCAGCTCAGGGATGGTTTTAGAAGAGCTCAGGGACACTTTGGAGCATGGCAGGGATGTTTTGGAGGAGCTCTGGGATGCTTTTGGGCAGCTCAGGGATATTTTGGAGGAGCTCTGGGATGCTTTTGAGCAACTCTGGGACGTTTTATGCCGCTCAGGGATGTTTTAGAGCATGTCAGGGATATTTTGGAGCATGTCAGGGATGTTTTGGAGGAGCTCTGGGGATGTTTTGGAGCCCCAGTGCTGCCCTGAGCAGCGTGGAGCAGTCTGAAGCAATCTGGGGGGTTTCAGAGCTCCCAGGGTGTGGCAGAGCCTTTCCCAGCTCTCTGCTGCAGCTCCAGGGCTGCCCGGAGCAGTTCAGAGGAACAGTCTGGAGCCATCCGGAGGCACGGCGGGAGCTGGGAGGGGATTTTGCACGTTCAGGCCCTTTGGGGCGGCTTAAAGGGGTGGGGAGGGGTGGAGGAGGCTTAGAGGGGTGGGGAGCAGCTTAGCAGGGAGGTGAGGGCGTTTAAGGGATTTTTGGAGCCGTTCAGAACAGCCGAGGGCTCCGAGGGGGCTCTCCCGGAGCGGAGGGAAGGGAAAGCTCCGTGTTCCTGCTCAGGGGAGGGACCCACGAGCCCCTGTCCCAGCCTGCCCCATCCCTGGGCAGCAGGACCAGCTCCCAGGGTCCCACCTGGATCCTCCAGGAAGCTGAAGGGGGAATTCCCCCATTCCCACCCACACAGCTTGGCTGGCTGGGGAGATGTTGGCTCCTCCGACCTTGATCCCTTTGGAATCAGCGGGGTCCTGCCTTCCTCATCCTCAACCTCATCCTCATCCTCCCAAAATCAGGGCATTCCAGCCAGGTCCAGCCTCCCTCATCCTCATCCTTGTCCTCATAATCCTCATCTTCATCCTCATCCTCCCAAAATCAGGGCATTCCAGCCAGGTCCAGCCTCCTTCATCCTCATCTTCATCCCCCAAAAATCATTCCAGCCAGCTCTAGCTTTCCTCATCCTCATCCTCATCCTCATAATCCTCATCCTCACCCTCCCAAAATCAGGACATTCCAGCCAGGTCCAGCCTCCCTCATCCTCATCCTCATAATCCTCATCCTCATCCTCCCAAAACCAGGGCACTCCTTGGTGCAGGAGCATTTCCACTCAATCCAGCCCCACTGGAGATGCAGCACTTGGATATTTGGGATGCTCCAATCCAGCACTGGGATCCTCAGGATGCTCCAATCCACCTCTGTGGAAAAACAGTCTCTGGGCAGGAATAGTAACAGCTTTTAATCCGACAAGAATTGATACATCAGTTAAGACAATACCATTTTTGCCTCTTTTTTGGGGGACTTCCTTCACATACCAGTCGGGAAAGAGGAACATTTTCAGGATGTACAGTTTTTGTCTTGTTTTTGTTTTTCTCTCTCCATAGGGACTTTAAAGCATGGTGAATGTGCAAGTCAGTGCTTTTTGTTTGCTTAAAACTTTTTTTTTTTCCCGGTGCTTATTTACAGTTACAGTACCTCTGTGAGAGCGACAGGAAAAAACAAACGATTGTTTGAGACCTGGGGATCCAGGATCCCAAGTCGAGAAAGGCAGATCTCCAATATTTATATATTTATACATATATATATATATATATATGCTTTTGTGTATACACAGATACATTTCTCTCTTCTTTTAAAGTATTAAAAAAATGGATCAACCTTCATTCTATAAAAATACCTACTCTACAAGATAGAAAAATTTTCCCTCTCCAAGTATACACTGATTTACACCCAAAGCTTCTCTGGAAATGTACATTACGTGGCTTCTTCCCGCGGCCTCGGGGCAGGGAGGGGGGCAGGGAGGGAGGGCTGGGGTGGTGCAGGAGCTGCCCCGGGGCTTGGGGCTCACCCCGACCCCGCTGCCCCACAGGGGATCAGCCCCAGAGGCGCCGTGGCCGTGGCTCGGCCGCTGTCCCCCAGGATGAGGTGGTGCCAGGGTCCCCCTGCACACTGGGTCACCCCGAGGGCTGGAGGGGCTTGGGG